AAGAAGAACCGGAGCGCGATGTGCTTGGTTCTAGAGCTGAACATCGCGTTGCTGGCCACAGTCAATGCTCCGGTGCTGTCGCTGTTGATGGGTACCGATCGAAAGGTCTTGAATCCGATTTCTGTCACGAAGTTGGAGATGTAGACGGCCTCGCGAGCACTGAAGCTCAGCGCTCGAAGTTCGGCCTCCACGGTTTTCTGTGCTGCGAGAGTCTGTGCCTTGGCTCCGTAGCTGATCAGTCCCCCTCCTAGGAAGAACAGGTATCCGGTGGTAGACCTGCCGTTGTCTGGGTTGGCTCCAAATGACGAGTCAGTGAAGCACGAGAGTCTGAACTGCCCCTTCTTGTACACGATCGGCAGGTCTGGCGTTCCGCGTAGGTACCGTAGTAGGTGCTTGGCCGCAGCCATGTGGACCTGTGCTGGGTTTGCGCATGCCCGTGTCAGTTGGTGCACTGCGTATGACAGATCGTAGCGGGTGCATTGGGCAAGGTACAGGAGACTCCCGGTGATGGCCTGGAATCTCTGCTTGTCCTCGGGTCCGGGCAGTTGGTCTTGTGGCTGCTCGGTTGATAGTTCTGCTCCATACCCGGGGGTGCTGACCGGGTTTGCCTGTTCCATTCCGTATCGCTGTAGGATATCTCTCGCGTAGGGTCCTTGCGATATGGCTAGTGTGCCATGTTCGTAGTCCCGCTGCACTTCGATGCCGACTATGCGCTTGACCTCTCCCATGTCTGTTATTTTGAAGCTGTCCATGAGTTCCTTCTTTTTCCTGCTTACGATCTCCTTGTTTCCGCCCGTGATGAGGATGTCATCGACGTAGATCGCGAGGATTGTTAGTTCGTCCCCGCTTTACGAAGATGTAGACACAGGGGTCAGAGTGAGTGCGCTGCCAGCCGAAGATGATGAGTCTGTCATTGATGGCGTCGTTCCACAGTGACGGGGACTGTGACAGGCCGTACAGACTTTTCTCCAGTTTGTAGACCATCATTTCACCTGTCGTAGGGTCCCTCTCCTCGTCGCCTGGCGCCGGCCTGACGTAGACGTCTCTGTCGGTGTACGCGTTCAGGAATGTCTCCCCCAAGAACCCTTTGCTCGAGGTGCCCGTGGCGTAAGCATACGCCCGGACTTCGGTGAAGGGGTCTTCATCCAGGTGAGCAAATTCCGCCGCGTCAGTAGGGCATCGTTGCTGCGCTTGGTGGGTGAGATCGAGTAGTTGATCCTCGGTGAGCTCCAGTGGGTCGGGGTGGCTGACAGCCATGGTAGCGCGGCCTCTGTCGTTCATGTTCACTTCCAGAGATTTCAGGATGCATGAAGGATCGATAGGTTCATCTGTGGGTTGGTGAGTGCGCGTGGCAGGACGGGTCACCGTTAATCGTCGCATTGGGATCGGGGCTGGCGAAGCGGAGTCCGGGTCTGCTGGCGTCGCGGGTGATTCGAGTGTCGTGTCCTGCGATGTCCTGGATGGTGTCGTAGTCCGCGGGTTGTTGTTGCTGTCAGCTCCCCCAGCAGCAAAGTAGTTGTCGGAATCCATGCCCGCGTTGTTTTGGCGAAGTTCTGCTCGG